AAATATTTTATAAGAAAGTCCCTTTGAAAATTTGTATATTTAAACTTCGAGATTCATATCATGTGTTAAAAGTACAATTTTAGTTTATATAAACATAAAGGGTGGTTACGTTGGGGGTGAAAGTTGGAGTTCAGAAAATTTTAACTAGTGATCTGCAAAATTTTGCGCCAAATTCTGTTATGAAAATTTTGCAGATGTTTCACAGATCACGAATTAATATTAATATTAAATATCTTTAACTGCTTCTCATTTCTAAAATTTAAAAATGAGCAAACGACCAATTTTTAATGTAAAACTTATAACTATTGAATGAAACAAAAATGAAAATTACAGGTATGAATTTACATATTTGAACATGTATTTGTATTTATAGATTGTTATACTTTTTTTGTAGAGGCAACAAATCCAATTCCACAAGAGACTGATGCTATAAATGATATGAATGAGAGGGATGTAGAAAAACATAAATCAGAATCAAACCTTAGTGAAATGTGGGAAAAATTGACAATGATATAATCCAGTAAGAATCATTTAAAAAATAAAATTATTTTTTCCTTGGAACTCACCTTAAAAACAAGTTTACTGACACTAACTATGTTACTTTGCCAATTGAGTTGATTATTTTGTGATAGGATGGGCCTTGAAGGAAATCAAGTTTATGGAAATAAATGGGATGGTGATAAAGTCAAGGAATACCTGCAAATATATTTTCTTTTTGGTAATATGAATAGAAGTCAACAATTTTCTGCAAAAGATATGTCAGAAGAATTGAAAGAGCATGTAAAACTTGGTGAACTTACATCCAAAGAGTTGCCAACAATCAAAACAATTGAAGGATGGATAAGTCGTTTTGCTGCTTCTCATAAAAAATCAATGGCACAGAAAATTTTAGAAGAAACCAAAATAAAAATCAATGACATTCTAAAAATTCATTATTGCTTACTATAATTGCATCCAGAAATTATTTTATAAAAAGATCAAGGTTTTGTTATGGAGAAATTCAACGTTTTGAGTTTTAAAATTATTTTTTAGTTGATATTAAAATGTTTTATATTGTGAGATAGTAAAATGAGGACCGATAGAGAGGTCCCGCGTTGCCGATCCAACCAAACCAAATTACTGCGGA